GGGGGGGGGTTCGGGGTACCGGGGTTTGGCGGTGCGGGGGGTGCCCGGTGTTGGGGTGCCCGGTGTTGGGGTACCCGGGACTGCGGGGTCCCGGCTGCCTGGGGGGGGTGGTGAGCCGGGTTTGGGGGTGCGGGGGATTTGGGGGTGCCGGCGGGGTGCCGGGGGTGGGGGCTCGGGGTTGCGGGGGGTGCCGGGGGCGGAGGTGCCCGGGGTTGGGGTGCCGGGGGTGCGGGGTCCCGGGGGTCGCGGCGCTGCCTGGGGGCGGGGGGAGAGGTGAGCCGGGGTTTGGGGGTGTCCCCCCGCGGCCGCCCCGGGCGCGCACCCCCCGGCCCGTGCCCCCCCCGCGCTGTCCCTGTCACGCGTGGGCACACCGAGCTGTGGGGGGGCGGGTGACACCCACGGGGGGCACCGGGGGGGTCGTGGGCACCGCGGTGTGGGTTCCCGATGGGGTGTGTGGGGTGTGGGTTCCCGATGAGGGTGTGTGGGGTGTGGGTTCCCGACGGGGTGTGTGGGGTGGGGGTTCCCGATGGGGTGTGTGGGGTGGGGGTTCCCGATGAGGGTGCCGGGGGAGCAGCGGGTTCGGGGGTGTCGGGGGTGTCCTGTGGGGGACGGCGCGTCCGGGAGGTGTCGAGCGCTGGGGGTGGCGGGTCCGGGGAGTGTCTTTGGAGGGGGCGGCAGATCCGGGGGTGCGACAGGTCCGGGCGGGTGTCGGGTGCGGGAGTGTCCTGTGCGGGGGTGGCGGGTCCCCGCGTGTCACATCGCATCCGTCGTCCCCGCGCCGCCGCCGCCCTGACGGGCGCGGTGTCACCCCGCGGCGACAGCCCCTGTCACCGCGATTAGGGACCTGGCGCGGGCGGGGGGGCTCCGGGGGAGGGGACACCTACGCGCGCCCCCGCAGCAGCCGCGGGGGGGGGCGGCCCCGTGTGCCCCCCCGGCCCCGTGTGCTACCGCGGGACCCGGACTGCTCCCGTCCCCGCCCGGGGGGCTCCCGCGTTCCCTTGGAGTCCTGTACGGCCAGGTGCTCCTGTCCCCTCCTTGGGGGACTGCTGTGTCCCCCCAGGTGCTCCTGTCCCCTCCTTGGGGGACTGCTGTGTCCCCCCAGGTGCTCCTGTCCCCTCCTTGGGGGACTGCTGTGTCCCCCCAGGTGCTCCTGTCGTCCCCCTCCAAGTGCTTCTGCTGCAAACTCGGAGTGGTCCTGTCCCCCCTTGGCGTGCTGCTGTCCCCCCCGGGTGCTCCTGTCCCCTCCTTGGGGGACTGTGGTGTCCCCCAGGTGCTCCTGTGTCCCCTTGGAGTGCTCCTGTCCCAAACTCGGGGTGCTCCTGTTCCCCCTTGGGGTGCTCGTCACCACTTCGGGGTGGTCCCGTCCTCCCCCCCAGGTGCTCCTGTGCCCCCTTGGGGTGCTCCTGTTCCCTCCCCTTGGGGTGCTCCTGTTCC